ATCCTTATAACTTTTCTAGTCCTAATTAACTTCACTTTACGACCGATGTAGAGAAATGCACTCCACCAGTACAAATAATTCATATCCAAAGTACAATATTTTAGTGTTGATGTAAGGCTGCTGTTAGTCTAACGATAGCTAGCTCAGCGTGACTCGAGGTCGTTTATCTTTAATTCATGTCATTTACTTCTCAAACATTACAAAAATTGAAATAATAGAATGATTTCCCGTCATCCGTGTAATAGTTGTGGCTTTCAAATGTTTTCAACTGTTTATCTCTTTGTACAAACTAGATGGTAATCTTTGTTCCGTCATTGAGAAAAAATCCTGACTCCGATCAAAACCTGCTTGTGGTAAATTTGCTGATTTGTATCGCATCCCCAAAACACACAGCAATGACCACAGCAAAAACATGCAAACAAAAGAGCATTGATCACAGCCTAAAAACATGCAAACAAAAGACATTGACCACAGCCTAAAATCATGCAAACAAAAGAGCAATGCAATATCTAAACACAGATCTCAATGTGTTTGTACAATATATAGAAATCTTCTTTGGTTAAACTTATCTATATTTTCCATCAAAGCGGTATCGCAAGGAGGTATATGCTTAATTCCAAACCGCCCTCTACGAACCGCCCTTCACTTACAAATGGTCACCCACCTCTGTTTCTGCTTCCTTTCCAAGTCTTAATGAATACTGACCGGGACAAGCACATCACGCTCTCATTGCTGTATGACTACTGAACAAGGCTTCCTCTTTATCGATGAAATCTTTGGCCTCTAATTCCTTATTTGGACTTTGGATTCCATATTAGGTAAAAGTATTTTATCCTAATTCTGTAAGTGCAGTTTTAAATTGTTTTAATCTGTGACTTTCTTTTTATAAACTATAGCTATTAACTATTCACTGTATGGTAATAGCGCTAGGAATTCTGAATCAGAMGAGAGCCATAAATGTAATAGGAGTCTGTCAGCATAAGAAATTGAGGTCTTACCGACGAAACAAGTTTCCCTTATAAATAAATGATAATCATGGCTTTTAGGACGTAAAAAACGTCTATAGAAAAGGTTTAGTCTTTGGCTATGAATGATTTTTATTCCCGACAAAGTTGATCCAACGCAAACAAAAGACTATTAGACAAGCGAACAGGCAGCGCCAACAGTACAATCGAAACCCGAGCAATGGATAACGAATGGAATCGAAACTGCCGACTCATTATTAAAATGAACTGTTGATAAACCGTTATTAGCGCACCTGTCGTAGAATGAAAGTCATAAGTTTTGCAAATTAATTTGGATAGTAGAATACAGTACATCCTACACGCTATTAGACTTGATTAGAGACATATTGCAACGTTGGTGTTGTATTGAARGTCTGTGGGATATCAACAACAGTCGACCATCTCAAATGAACACGAATAGAACTATAAAGAACGCTCGAGACTTCCCACTCACATTCATCTCCCGATTGCATGTTACCTTGCGTTCCTATGGCAACAAAAAATACCCTCATGACAGCAACTGCGCATGCACTGTTAGGCCTTTCAATTAAAAAATTCCAATTTGTAAGCAACAGTAAAGTTGTTTCAGATCTAAAACACGTGGTTTTCAGTGCTTTTCCTTGTTTGTGTATGTGTGTTTTCATGGCTGCTAATCCTACCAGAAACTTAGTTTTTTTCGTAAGTGTGGCAAAATGGCAAGGAGTTTAACCACGGCGTTCGGCCTCGTTACCATGCGGAGTCGTAGTGAGGGTGTTYGATTGCTCCCACGCAAAATATATTTCCCTGCAAAAATAAAGCAATTCTTGAGGTGCAATAACATGATCAAGAACCCATGAAAAATACGCTGTCGACGCCATATTGGATGAATGAGCAAGAAAAACTAACGCCGGAATGCATTATCCAACATGAAGATAACAACGAGCAACCTGACAATAAACACATACTCTGTTTACGATGGAAATTCGAGACTATAAGCCAAATCCATCATTATGTAATCTAGAGTAGAAGTCATTAGTACCATTGGCTGTCATTACCGACTAATTTCACAATTACATTTCCTTTTTCTACATTAWCAACATTAAGCGGATCAATAAAGACAGACCTTTGGGGAGGTAGCTCTTCCATGTTTATATATTTACTATATAAATAACGGACTTTCACTTAATGTAAGGAAGAAATAAAACTTTATCTTTTCACCGGTGAAAATAACAATCCGTCCAATCAGAAGCATTCCTCGAGGCTTGTTTATATTCATCAGTATTTAATAAAGCAATCAAAGATTTGAATGTTATAGATAGATTCWTTTTTTCGGAATTTCTTATTTGTAAGCCAGCTGACAAAAATCCGGAAAATGTATGGATGTGAACGTAAACCATTTRTTAAAATGGGCGCTGTTCATTTTAGCATATTTTTCAGCTTAGTAAAACAAGATYCCTGAAATACCAAAGAATATCCTTCACTGTCCTTCACTTATAAGCTGTGTAAAAATCCAGAGAAGTTCCAATAAAAATTAACCCGCACAGAGATATTAATCATTCAGAAAGAGACATTTACAGAGAAACGTATGTCTGTGGTATCAGCCATATCAACATTCATATATCTACCTTCGAGCGTTTGCAGGGCTTCCTTGTAAGTTTTATTCTTAAGTATTTATTAGTTCATTTCGTCTAGAATTGAAAAGAAAAATCATACTAATAAAGACGGCCATTTTGTAAAAAGGGATTATTGAAACGATTACGCTGGTTTAGATTCCATCTTCCTAACATTTTCTGGCGATTGTAACGACCATCAATTGTTTTGCTTTCATCTATGATGGGAAATGTGATTGTGTGTTTGCAATGTGATGTAGCTCTCATTTTCAAAACCATTGATTTATTGTATTGAAGTTTTCGAGATGACATTTTTCAAAAGTTTATGTCCAACAAACTAGARGACRTGAGCTGTCAGACAGAAGTGGTTAGGAAACTATTTTTAGAGTAACAAAACATGATGCATAGCCGAGTGCTAATTCTAAACATCAAGAGAAGAATAGGTTTTTGTCATCAGAGAAACAGGCTGAACCATGTAATGAATTATTGAAGACTTTTCTTCGTGTATTTAATATTCGTCCAGTATAGTATCTATTTAGTAATTGATATATAGTTCCCATCAATGAGGAGAGAAATATCACTTGTGACGCAGCTCAGGAGTTAAGTCTGTGTTTGTTTTGTGATATTTCTCAAGACGGTCATTAAATAAAACTCGAATATAATAAGGTCTCACGAAAGCTAGTTTTTTCAATATTATGCGAACAGATAATGGCTTTCAATAATATAAGTCAACTAAACATAAAATCTATTTTTGCTATATTCCTTATTGATGTAGTTTTTTAGGTGCCAGCAAGTTAATATTCACAGTAGAAGTGTCTATTGCTTTCCTACAGCAATTCCGTGATCATCATGAAGTCCAATCATGTTGCTCTCTAGTTTTTTTCTTCAATAAAACGAGAACAACTGCCTGTATTAAATGAATCAGTTTGAAAAAAATAATTGCGACAAACAATAAAATTTACTAAAATATCTTTTTTCCTCAGGGTAGCACTTAAGACTTCTGAATTTAAAAATTAATTAAAGCCTAAATCACTTAAAGCAATCACGTCGGCCTGCTATTGAGAACCAACTTGACAATCTGATTGGTTTAGAAAAAGCTCATATTTCTCACCCGCTATAGTGTTGCGTAATTTACTATGAAGAACCATTGGATTGATGATAGTTTTACAAGTAGCCAGGGATATCACTTCAATCAACAGTTAAATGCAAACATTTAGAAATATAATTAGATATAAGATGAAGTAATTATTACTATCTAAAAAAGCAATCTAAAATAGAATTCAACAAAAAGAATAACTCGTCGACCATCCACTTCAATCTTCTCGATATTTCAATATTCACTGGGAAACAATAAAGAAAATCATGAAATAAAAGGAAATGAATGACTTCAAGGCGTAAACTACTAATGTTATCAAGGTTTGGATGTYGACAGCCAATAATGAACCTCATATCTGTTGTAGGTCGATAATTTATGCGTAAGTGCGATGTGAAAGTGCAAAAATATGATTGATGYYGTCTTARTTATCTTTCCGTTGAGGAAAAGCATCGAAAGGCTCTCTTAATCCTGCAGTAACATCAACGAACCGCGTTTTTCCAGGTTAGTTGAATACCCTGATTAAACGGTACAGTRTCCATTAGTAGCTGATTATTACTAGTCGATTATTACACGGGGAACGAGCTTCGTAAAGTCATTTACATCCATTTTTTAATGATTGACTGTGTGGTTAAACACAAAGCAACGATCCTCAAGCATATGCTAGTTACTATAACATCCACGATTAGTCATCAGTTTGCTGATCAGTTTCATTATAACAGAGCTCAATATTTATACCATACTCAAGTGCTTTTCTATTGGCTACTACAAGATTTTTACATGAAAATAAGAGAGAGAGGAAGGCTTGATGCGTATCGCGTTTGTTTCGATTTCTTTGYTCCCCGCACAAATATCAATGCATCTTAMAGCTCTGATTTCTGTAGCAATTCCAATATGAATTCACTCAGCGTTTCAAGTGTTAAGTTTGTTCATGGCTTTTGTCACTGCGCATCAACCTTGCGCATTGGAGCAATTAGCGTTTTTACCATATAAGGTCTGAGAATGCTTGTAAAGAAATTTGAAAAAGTACTAAAAACATTAGAAAAGSATTCGTTTTCTTTTTGCTTTATGCTAAACTTAGGCATGTTTGTTGAAACTAACGAACAAATGTGTTTTTTGAACCAACTGATTTTATCAAAACGACACAAAGTCTRGGCCTCCATCAGATCTCCCGGAAACGATGGGCAGCCTCCATCTTTTATGGTATTTTTACTGTAAATAGTCTTTCTATGTTGAGTAAACAAAGTAAGAAAATATATCTTATTAACGGGATCTATCAATCCCGATCACCTTTAAGCAACAGAATTGTTTATTTTTGTTTCCGTATTTTCATCAGAAAATTAGATACATGACATGTAATGCGCATGCTCGTGCGGAGTCTTGGCGATTAGATTAAACATTTCGCGTAAAAAGGTTCCAAGAAATGGTGTTTTTTGGACTTATTTTTTAATTCAATGGTCCCTTAGATAATGGATAGCGGTTCCGGCTTTTCTCTGGTTTAATGTAAACAGGTTTATCATGCCGCCTCGTTCTGTATCACTTGATCGTTAGTATTGATCTTGTCATGCTTTTACTGAGCACAGATAAAAGAGATGAATGATTCAAATAAATTTATACAGTCATGATGTAAAACAATGAGCAAAAATTATGGAAAATAACTTACCATGTAAAAAAAACACAGGGAAGAGAAAAAGTACGCAAGTGAAAGAGAAGAATAGAAAGAGATGGAAATATGGAAATGGAAATAAATACAAAGAGGAAACACAATGGAATAGAATGAGAATGAAACCTGAACTGAAATGAGAAGAAAAACTACGAACAAAAACATCATAACAAAGGCATAAAAAACAACAACAATTACAAAGTCGATTAGAAAAAATGATGATTAAGTGTGTCAGGGAAATCTATTAATAATGTGACCGATTGGTTGGTCGTAAACAGCAGCACACACAGCTGAAACGCATGGGAAACATCCGCTGCACAAATACATCTTCTGCTGGGGTCAATTATCCATGTTATTTTCATAAACATTGCCCGCGATCTTCCACAGGGACCCCAGGTCACAGGTTAATAAACGTGTGCGGGCATACAGACAGTAATGGGAAATATGTCGAGACTGAAACCCATCATTGAAATAAGCACTTAAACTAATATGCTAAAAGCAAGCTTTACATAATGTCTGGAGATCGAATGGAAAGGAAAATCACAAAAAGAAAAAACAAGAGAAATGAAGGGAGAACGGGAACTATCTTCCAGGGATATAAGAAATGTCGGCTCGTTAGAAACAGGATTAATTAATGTTAAATAAACAGATGCGTATATACCAAAATAGTCAAAATAAAATCAAAATAATAATCAATATAACGTAAACCAWACTAAGAACCCAGTAACGRCCATACGGGCCGYCTTCTCTACACATGTTGTAGTCCGTGAAAGCCGTGCCGGTCTACCTGGAACAATAGCCCTACTGGTGGTGATTTTGTTATGCCATGTGATTTKTTTTATGAATAATTAAATGTCGAGGAAGGTAGGGATTTCGAGACGAGCACAAAATCAAGATCGCAAATCATCCAAGCACATATACATGATAAACTTAGAGAGAAAGAAATGTCACGACTTAGCTTTGCGTTACTAATGTATTGTTTTACGCAGGTCACGCAAGAAGTCATCAACTAAATGAACAGACTTGATGATAGTGTTGAAATCGAAGCATCATTTTACCTTCTTCCTCGGTGGAAACCATTTGAGATGGCGGTGCCATCCGTAGCCATAGCTGGACCTATGCAACACTTCACTAGACAGCACCGTGGATATTAAGAAGTGTGTTCTCGAGCAACTTGTCATATTTGCTTTTAACTGACGCTAACTTCGTAGGAATGAAATCTGGGTTATTATTTCTTGGGTTAATCTTCCTGGATTTATGGTATGTCCAGAGCAAGGATTACAAACTTGGTCTTTTAATACCATACCGTAATGTTCGGCAAGTTTTCTCAAACTCCTACTTCGCAGGAATGAAGTATGCTGCGGCAATCACTGTCGCCGTACGAGATATCAACAACAGAACAGACTTACTCCCTAACGATACTCTATCTTTCGAATGGAGAGACACG